GATATACAGAAAGGTGACAGACACATAAAAAGATACTCAACATCACTCATCATCAGGGAAATACACATCAAAACCACCATGAATACCACCTCACACCTGTCAGAATGGCTAACATTAACAACTCAGGCAACAACAGATGTTGGCAAGGATGCGAAAAGAGAGCAACTCTTTTGCATTCCTAGTGGAAATGCAAACTGGTACAGCCACTCTGGAAAACAGTATGGAGGTTCCTCAAAAAATTAAAAATAGAACTACCCTACAGCCCTGCAATGGCACTATTAGGTATTTATCCAAAGGATACAAAACTGCTGATTCAAAGGGACACGTGTACCCCAATGTTTACAGCAGCACTATAGACAATAGCCAAAATATGGAAAGAGTCTAAATGTCCATCAACCGATGAATGGATAAAGAAGATGTGGTATATATATTCAATTGAGTATTACTCGGCAACCAAAAAGAATGAAATCTTGCCATTTGCAACAACATGGATGGAACTAGAGGGTATTATGCTAAGCGAAATAAGTCAGTCAGAGAAAGACAAATATCATATGATTTCATTCCTATGAGGAATTTAAGATTCAAAACAGATGAACATAGGGAAGGGAAGGGAAAATAAGATAAAAATAGAGAGGGAGGCAAACCATAAAAGACTCTTAAATACAGAGAAGAAACTGAGGGTTGCTGGTGGGGTGCTGAGTGGGGGGAAGGGCTAAAGGGGTAAGGAACATTAAGGAAGACACTGGCTGGGATGAGCATTGGGTGTTATATGTAAATAATGAAACACTAAATCTATTCCTGAAAAGAAAATATTTTGATTAAAAAAAAAATCATTCAGGGGCGCCTGGGTGGCTCAGTCAGTTAAGTGTCCGACTTCGGGTCAGGTCATGATCCCACGGTTCATGGGTTCGAGCCCTGCATCAGGCTCTGTGCTGACAGCTCAGAACCTGGAGCCTGCTTCAGATTCTGTATCTCCCTCTCTCTCTGACCCTCCCCTGTTCACGCTGTCTGTCTGTCTGTCTGTCTGTTTCTCTCTCTCTCAGAAATAAAGTTATAAAAAATCATTCACTACAGTCAAGTGGGATTTACTCCTGGGATGCAATGGTGGTTCAATATTTGCAAGTCAATCTATGTGATACATCATATCAATAACAAAAAGGATAGGGGTGGGTACCTGTGTGTTTCACATAGGTTAAGGATAGGGGCACCTGGATCGCTCAAGTCAGTTAAGTATCCAACTCCTGATTTCAGCTCAGGTCATGATCTCACAGTTTATGCATTTGAGCCCTACATTAGGCTCCATGCTGACAGTGCAAAGCCTGCTTGGGATTCTCTTTCTCCTCTGTCTGCCCCTCCCACCCCCTAAAATAAATAAAGACACTTTAAAAAAAACAGAAAGGATAAAAACCATTTAATTATTTCAATACATGCAGAAACAGTATTTGACCAAGTACAACATACATTCATGATAAAAACCCTCAACAGAGAAGGTTTAGAGGAACCATACCCCAAAATAATAAAGGTCATATATGAAAAATCCACAACTGATATCATTGTCAATGGTGAAAAGCTTAGAGGTTTTCAACTAAGATCATGAACAGGACAAGGATATCCACTTTCACCACCTTTATTTTACTTGATACTAGAGGATCTAACCATAGCAATCAGACAAGAAAAAGGAATAAAAGGCAACCCAATTGGAAAGGAAGAACTAAAACTTTAACTATTTGTAAATGTCAAAATAATATATATAGAAAACCCTAAAGGCTCCATCAAAAAATCACTAAAACTGATAAATGATTTCAGTAAGGTTGCAGGGTACAAAATCAATATACAGAAATCCGTTGCATTTCTGTACACCAATAATGAAGTCGCAGAAAGAGAAATTAAGAAAGCAATCCCAATTACAATTGCACCAAAAATGATAAAGTACCTATGAATAAACTTAACCAAGGAAGTGAAACATGTTTACTCTGAAAACTATAAAACACTGATGAAAGAAATTGAAGATGACACTAATGGAAAAATATCCATGCTCATGGATTGAAAGAACAAATATTGTTAAAATATCCATACATCCAAAGCAATCTACAGATTTAATGCAATCCCTATCAAAATGCCAACAGCATTTTTCACAGAACTAGAATAAACAATCCTAAAATTTGTATGGAAACATAAAAGGCCCTGCATTGTCAAAGCAATCTTGAAAAAGATGAATAAAAGTGGAGGTATCACAATACATGATTTCAAATTATATTACAAAGCTGTAGTGATCAAAAAACACTATGGTACAGCACAAAAATAGACACATCACTCAATAGAACAGAAAAAAGAGCCTAGAAATAAACCCACAATTATATGGTAAATTAATCTTTGACAAAGGAGGCAAGAATATGCAATGGGAATAAGGCAGTCTCTTCAATAAATGGTATTGGGAAAACTGGACAGCTGCATGGAAAAAAATGACAATGGACCGCTTTCTTATACCATATATAAAAATAAACTCAAGGACCTAAATGTGAGACCTGAAACCATAAAAACCCTAGGAGAGGGCACAGGCAGTAACATTTTTTGACATGGGCCATAGCAACATTTTTTTAGCTATGTCTCCTGAGGCAAGGGAAACAAAAGCAAAAATAGACTATTGGAAATACATAAAAAAAAAAAACTTCTGCACAGTGAAGGAACAATCAAAAAAACTAAAAGACAACCTAATGGGAGAAGATATTTGCAAATGATATATCTGATAAAAGGTTAGCATCCAAAATTTACAAAGAACTTATACAACCCAACACCAAAAAACAAATTATCCAATTAAAACATGAGCATAAGACATAAATAGACATAAGGCAAGAACAGACATTTATCCAAAGAAGATATATAGATGTTCAAAAGACACATGAGAAGACCCTCAACATCACTAATCATCAGAAAAATGCAAAGCAACACTAAGATGAGATATCAGCTGTCAGAATGGCTAAAATCAAAAACAAATAAACAATAATTGTTGGCAAGGTTGTGGAGAAAAGGGAACCTATGCACTGTTAGTGGGAATGAAAAATGGTGCAAAACTGTGGAAGACAGTATGGAGGTTCTTCAAAAATTAAAAACATAATTACCATATGACTCAGTAATTCCACTACTGGGTATTTATCCAAAGAATATGGAAACACTAATTTGAAAAGATATATGCACCTCTGTTTATTGTGTCATTACTTACAACTGCCAAATTATGGAAGCAGCCTAAATGTCCACCAGTTGATGAATGGATAAAGAAGAAATGGTACATATATGTGTGTGTATCTATATATATGTATATATATAACATTACTCAGTCATAAAAAATAATGAAATCTTGCCATTTACAGCAACATGAATGGATCCAAAGAGTATAATGCTAAGTGAAATAAGTCAGTTAGAAATAAGTCAAATATCATATGATTTCACTCATATATGGAATTTAGGAAACAAAACAAAGGAAGAAACAAAACACAACAGCAAAAAGAGATAAACCAAAAAATAGACTCTTAACTATAGAGAGCAAACTGATGGCTACCAGAGGGGAAGTAGATGGGAGAATGAGTGAAATACGTAAAAGAGATTAAGAATAATTTATCACAATGAGCACGGAGTACAGCCTTGTTGGATCAATATATTATATACCTGAAACTAATTTAACACTACATTAACTGTACTAGAATTAAAAAATTTTTAAATAAGCATGTGGGAAAACAAACAAACAGAAAAACAACTTCTTATGTGATTCCACTTATATGAACATCCAGAACAGTTAAATCTCTAGAGACAGAAAGCAGACTGATGTGTGCCAGGGACATGGGGGTAGTGGTGGAGAATGGGGAGTAACTGCTTCATGGATGTGGGGTCTTTCCTGTGAGTGACAAAAATAAATTGGAACTAGATAGAGGTGATGTATACACAACACAATGTTAATGTAACAAATGCCACTAAATTATATATTTTGAAATGGTTTATTTTATGTTATGTGAATTTTACCTCAATTATATATGTATTAAAAATATTCTGAATTCTTTGCATATATTAATTCTTAATTCTCATAGAAAATATATACTTATTATTTATATACTTACATTATTATCAATAAATGTATATACTTATTTATAAGCTAATATATTTTACCCCGGCTATATTGATGAGGAAACTAAGTGACAAAAAGACTGAATGACCTACCCAAAGTTACTCAGCAGACAACAGAAGTTGGGATTTAAGTCCAGGTAATCAAATTCCAGAATCTTACCTCTTGACCATTATGGCAGAAAAAATAGAAGTTTGCATTATAAAAAGCAAGAGACTATAAAATGATAAGTGAGATTTGAAAAAAATAACAAAAAGCAGTACTTTCAGAAGAAAACAATAGAGTAATTGAAACTTAAACTCTAAGAATAGGTTTAATACCCAGTAGATACAGATGAAGAAAAAATTAGAGCAGATGAAAATATGAAGAAATTCTGAATGTAGCACAGAGAGATGTAAAATAAGAAAGAGGCTAAGAAATATGGAGAAAGAGACCTGAGTAAGTCTAACATGTCTGATTGGAGCCTGAGTTCAGTTTATTGCCCCTAGTCTTCAAAAGCACTTTTCAACATACAGGCATACAGGCATTTTACTGCTTCACAGACATTATATTTTTCATAAATTGAAATTTATGGCAACTTTGCATTGAGCCAGTCTATCAGCTCCATTTTTTCCAACAGCATTTGCTCACTTAGTGTCTCTGTGTCACAGTTTGATAATTCTTGTAATATTTCAAACTTTTTCATTATTCTTATATTTGTTATGATGAGCTGTGATCAGTGATTATGACTTGCTGAAAGCTCAGATAATGGTGAGTATTTTTTAACATTAGAATATTTTAAAATAAAGGTATATCTATTGCTTTTTTAGATATAACAGTGTTGCATATTTAATAGACTATAGCATCGTGTAAACATAACTCTTATATGCACTGGGAAATCAAAAAGTTAATTTGACTTGCTTTATTGAGATACTGACTTTATTGTGGTGTTCTGGAACCAAACCCATAATATCTTTGAGGTATGCTGTGATAAACAACTGAGTTCCTTTAAGCATTTCTCCTTTAAAATGAAAATAATGTTAAGCTTTCTCAGTAGAGGATATTGGAAGGATAATGCAGGGAAAAAGAGATTCTCTAGAAATTCCTGGTGTGGGCTGGTGGTTGGCTGGTGGATGTGAAGACATTCAGTGAATATCCACAGGGCAAGAAACAATTCATATGTGACCTTGCAGCCTTGGCCAGCGATGATCTTTTTGCAGCCCTCTTGACATGGAAACCAACATTTCTGTATGCCCTACACACAACTTCCTGTGTCTTGGAGGGTCATACACCAGAACTCACTTCTACAAGCCTGTGCACAGCTGGTGTGTATCCAACCTGTGGTCCAGGACTCCACACAGAGCTGCCATCTCTCTGTTGTAAAGTAGATTACCTGCAAAGAAACAATTAATGGATTGACTCAAGAGCAAAAACAAGGGGTGCTTGGGTGGCTAAGTTGGCTAAGCATTAACTTTGGCTCAGGTCATGATTTCACAGTTGGTGAGTTTGAGCCCCGTGTTGGGCTCTGTGTTGACGGCTCAGAGCCTGGAGCCTGCTTCGGACTCTGTGTCTCCCTCTCTCTCTATCTCTTGCCCACTCACTCTGTCTCTCTCTCAAAAATAGACATTAAAAAAAGAGCAAAAAAGAAAGATTTCTCAATAAATCTTAGAAACAGAAGATGGTGGAATATTATCTTCACTGCACTGAGAAAAAATAACTATCACCCTAAAATACTGTACCAAAAAGAAAGATTTTTCAAGGATAAGAATGAATTACATGGATAGATTTGGAGAACATTATATTGAACAAAAAGATTTAAAAAAATAGCATGTGATTCGATTTTCATGACATTCAAAGAGAGGCAAAATTAAACTATGGTGATAGAAATCAGAAAAGTGGTTACCTGGGATGGGGGGGGGATTTGATTAGAAAGAAGCACAAGGAAACTTTCTAGGATTAATTGTCCTATATCTTTTTTTAAAAAATGTTTTATTTATTTCTAGGAGAGAGAGAGACAGCGTGAGCAGGGGAGGGTCAGAGAGAGAGAGGGAGTCACAGACTGAAACAGGCTCCAGGCTCTGAGCTGGCAGTCAGCACAGAGCCCGACGCGGGGCTCGAACCCACGAACCGCGAGATCATGACCTAAGCCAAAGTCGGACGCTTAACCGACTAAGCCACCCAGGCGCCCCTAAATGTCCTGTATCTTAATGGGGGTAGTGATTATACAAGTATATACATTTGCCAAACTCACTGAACTGTGATGGTTAATTTTATGTATCATCTTGACTAGGCCACAGGATGCCTACATAACTGGTTAAACATTATTTCTGGGTATGTCTGTAAGGAAGTTTCCAGAAGAGATTAGCATGTGAGTGGTCGGCTAAGTAAATCAGATTGTCCTCCTGGATGTGAATCAGCATCATCTAATCCACTGGGGGCCTAAACAGAACAGAAAGGCAGAGGAAGGGAGAATTTGCTCTCTGCCTGACCACCTGAGCTAAGATATGGGTGTCCTTCTTCTATGGCTGTTTGAAATACAAATATCCTTTACAAGACAGTCCAGAAACAAAAGTATCCAGTGCCATTCCTCATAAGATGTTCAGAAATATGAGATCCATGGAGAATTGTCCCCCAGTATTGGATGTGTGAATTTTTTTCACTGTGAAACATATGAAATTGAATACAGATCAAAAGTTAGCATTCAGACTGAAATGTACCGTAAGTATAAAATTCACAACAGCTTTTGAAACCTTATGTTAAGGGCACCTGGCTGGTTCAGTTGGTAGAAACATGCAACTCTTGATCTCAGGGTTGTAAGTTTGAGCTCCACATTTGGGTGTAGAGATACTTAAAAATAAAATTTCATTTAAAAAAGAAGAAACCTTATATTTAAAAAAGAATGTAAAGTATCTAATTAATAATTATATTGAATATATGTTTAAATGATAACATTTTTAATATATTGATTTAGATAAAGTGTATTATTAAAATTAATTTCACCTGTTTCTTTTTACTTAAAAAGATTTTTTTTAAGGAACCTCTACACCCAAAGTGGGGATGGAATTTACAACCCCAAGATCAAGAGTCTCAGGCTAGACTGATTGAATCAGCCAGGTGCCCCTCTTTTTACTCTTTAAAAATGTGATTACCAGATATTGTAAAATTACTTATGAGTCGTACATTATATTTCTATTGAACAACTCTGGATGTCTAATTTTTATTGGGCACCCTAGAATGATTGAATAATCTAATGAATAGAAATTGGGAGGGAATATTGTCCTTGTTGGAGTTCCCTAGCACACAGAGATGGAGGCAAAGCTTAACTGTTAATGTTTTGGGGGGAGGAATAATCCCAGAATAGTGACAGTGTAGGAAAAGGGAAATGAGTCAGAGACAGTGGGAAAGTACCTTTGGGCAGATGCTGGGAAAGTTTGATGCTAGGTTCTGTGGCTTGGTGCCTCATCTAAGATTTAAAGTGATGATAGGAGCCAGAATAACCATGAGACTGATTGGATTCAGCCTCAGTTCTAGTGCTACGAGGCCCATGCAGGTTGTCATGCTAGGTTGTTTTGGTTCTGTTGGGTTACGGTTAGTGTAGTTTCCCATTGATAGTTAACATTGGGCATGGAAGTGGTAGGAGATATTCCACTGATGACTCAAGGTTCCAAACATAATCCTCCTTGCATTCATTAGGTTGTAGCAACTCTAACTTAACCTGGAAATCAGAGTTCATTACCCCAGCCAGTACATTAGCTCCTTTTTTTTTACCTGTTTGTCCAATAGAATAAGGAACCCCAAATGACACCAAAATATTAGTCACAACTTCCATCTGGGTGGAACCCTGTACCTTCCCCACCCCTGGAACCAAGACTTCTGACCTAACAGAGTCAACAGTTTCAGGGATAGCAAACATAAATTCCATTAGTGAGTCACTGATAATGATGATGAGAGAGGCAACAGCTACTTCTACATCTTGGTTTTTATACCTGGGTATTCTAGTTCTGACTGACACACCACTTTATATTGGCCAGAGTTTAGTGGATATAGTGCATCCTGAAAGAAGGGCTCCAACCCCATAAGATGCTGTCCTCCAGCCAACACCTAAGCTGAAATTTCCACAGGCCGTTCCACTGTTTTGTTGTTATTGTTATTGTTATTGTTTGTTTTGTTTTATTTTGTTTTAGGTTGGCTGCTCCTGGATGATCAGCTACTTGTTAAAACGAGTGATTCTCAAGTTCGTGAGCTTATCCTCACATTTCCTTTGACATCAAGTGTATCTATTTTCTTTTTAAATTTTATTTTATTTTATTTCATTATTATTTTTTGAGTGGGTCTGTTGTTCAAGACAATGTTGTAGGGATACCATGTCAAGAGAAAGAATTCTAGAACTCTAGAATGGTGCTAGTGGATACACTTCAGCCAAGGAAGGCACAACATTTTCAGAATATGTATTAATTTCAGTAAATCAATTTGATGACCCCACCACGGAGGAAGGGGTCCAGTGTAATCAATCTGTCAATAGATGGCTGGCTGGTACCATTGTCTAGAGCTCATCAAAGAGCACTGATATAGAAGGCTAGACCACCTATTCATGTAGTTTACTCTAGTTTACGGTCTAGAGCTCAGTAAGATCATCTTGGTGAGAGAAATCCCATGTTGTTGGGTACATGCATGGTTTTTTATCTTTGCTACTATTATGACACTTTCTTCATGTGCTCAATGTCAAATACTGGAGTGGTGCACGGAGAGGCTGACTAAAATCCACAGGACTCATCTTTCTGTATATTTGATTGTCAAGACCCTCCTCTGTGGTACATGTTCTCTTGTGAGCAAAACTGCATATGTGTGTCCACTCCTACAGTGTCCGACCACATATTATCTACTCAGACCCCCATATTACCCATCTTCTATCCACATTTCTTTTAAGGCTCTTTTAAGGCCTCAACCAAACAAGACTTTTGGCTCTTCCCAGGTGTGAATATACAACTGAATCTTAGGCTACCTCTCCCTTCACATGAAGTGAAAACTCAAATACAGTTCTCACAACTCTGTGTGCTGAGATTTCCTTTCACTAATGCCATTCAGGGCCATTCCTGAATGAGGCTGTAATGAGGCAGCTAACCTTTTATGGCTGTTTCCAATATATATTGCACCAGCCTACATGTGAATCAGGCCTCTGTCAGTAGATCATAAGGAACTCCCCATGAGGTCATCAGTGCAGCACTGATAAATAATGTAGAAGGCTAGACCACCTATTCATGTAGTTTACTTGAGTCCTCTGGGATTTGCTTGATTCTGAATATATCACTTCCTACATACAACGAGACATTGCTACCCCTGCCTAGCTCTATGACTTGGTTGAGTTGATAATCCTCAGTTCAGGCTTCATAGTCCTTTAACGTACCATGGTCAGATATTTGGTGTTTGTTAAGACCTAATAGTGTACTAGGACCTATTTTTCCGAGTAGTTAACTTATGGTGAACAGCTTTGTTTTAGGATATAAGGCTCTACACTGTGACTCTTCTTTTGCAGTTTGCCCAAAACTCTATATATCCTTCATGGATAAACCTCTAGCACTATCAGATCTGTTGGATCACATGAGGTAAGTGTAATTTATCAGGTCTGACCATAGGCAATTACAAAGGCTTTACCTGACAGGCCTTGTGGGAAAAAGCCATCCTCTCATCCCATGCTTGGTATACAGCCAATGTATTACAATCTCTAAAAGGAGTTGCAGCGAAGGACTGATGTCTCTCTGGCTGTTCATGCTCTTCACATATTTGCATTACTAGCCCCAGTGACTTCATTCCTAGGTCTCTTTATCTGGGGCCTTGGGCAGAGGTCTTGTTCAGGTGACTCTGCTCATATCCCCTTATTGGGCAGGACAAGTGGGAAACCTTGAACACATTTATTCCTACTCAGACTCGGTATCCAGTAACTTCCTATTCCTAACCCTTCCTCCACCCCACCCACTACAGGGGCCATAAAGCAACCAGAGCCTTTTGTTCAGGGTTCCCTCAACAGTGAGGCAACCCCACATCTCTGCTAATCCACCTGACCCTCACCTGGCATATCATTTTATGGGGGAAATGAAGCAGGGGGGGAAGTGGGCATCTTGTCTCTTTAAGCCTTTTGTTTATACTAGCACAGTAAGTGATTAAAGGCTTCACTGTCACTTTCATTATGGCTTCTCTTCTGGTATTCAAACGAAGTGTTTGTTCTATCTGTTTAAGTTCTCCCACCGTCCTTGACTATTCTATTACATTTTCCCCAGTCTTTTTTTCTTCACTTTTTGACTTGGGAAGTTTCTGTTGATATATCCTCAAGCTCAGAGATTTTCTCCACTGTCACATCCAGCCAATTAATGAACCTATCAAAGACATTCTTCATTTTTCTCTATGTTTTTGATCTCTAGTATTTCTTTGAGGGTCTTCCTTAGAATTCCTTTCTTAGATCCTCTGTGCTTACATTCTCTATTTGTTCTGTCATGCTATATTTATCCACTGAAACCCTAGGTATATTATTCATAGTTAGTTATTTTAAATTTCTGGACTAATAATCCTACATCCCTGCCACATCTGAGTCTGGTGCTAATACTTGCTCTGCCTCTTCGAATTGTGTTTTCTTCACTGCAAGTTTTTGGTGAAAGCCACACATGTTGTACTGGGTGAAAGGAACTATGGCAAATAGGCCTTTAGTAATAGGATGGGAGAGTGTGGGAGAGAGCGGAGGCTTTCTCTATTCCTGTGATTAGGCTTATTCTTTTCGTGAGCTTGCGCCCTGAGCCGTGAACTTCACAAGAGCTTCTCAATTTTCTCACCTCCTTAGGTGGGCAGGATAGGTAGAGGGGGCTGGAGTTGGGTATTTCCCTTCTCCCAGGTTGGTTAGGCCCAGATAAAAAGCTACAGGTTTAGGCTTTGTTTAAAAAGATTCTCTTGATGACAGGACTTGTTAAGAAGAACAGAATGGTCTGGTGTATTTCAAAAACGGTTTCTTTCCCCCTTTGCCCTGCTGAAGTATCAGGGAATTGTTTTCTAATCTCCAATGTGAGAACTTGGTTGAGCTCCAGGAAGTAAAACTCACAAAAGTGTGGGTGACTCCCCTAGGACTGAGCTCCTATGGAGTTTTTAACTCTCAGCCTCCACCAATTCATCAATTATAGTTTAGGTTTTCCTATCCTAGTACTGGTTCCCGAGGAGCTTTCTGTTCATGGGTTTCGGCTTTGGTAAGCTGTGATTCTCTGTATCCACCTATCTCTCCAGCTTTTGGTGCAATGGTTTGCCATCATCTGAATTCTCTGCTGGATCTAAGAGCTACTCATTTTTGTTCACCTTTTTACTTATTTTTAGGATGCAGTGATGACTTCCAAACTTCTTACATGACAAAACATTAACTGGAAGTCTTATTTCTTTGACCCAGGGCATTTCTAGAAATATATGTTTTAATAGACTATTTTTAATAGCACTTTTAAGTAACAGCATAATTGAATGAAAAATACAGAGATTTCCCATATACTACCTGTTCCCACACATATAGAGCTTACTCCTTTATCACATCCCTCACTAGAGCGGTACATTTGTTACCACTGATGAACCTACATTAACACTCAAAGTCTATAGTTGACACTACAGTTCCCTCACGGTGTTGTACATTCAATGGGTTTTGACAAATATATAGTAATATATATGCACCATTATGGTTATACAGAGTAGTTTCACTGCCCTAAAGTCCTCTGTGCTCCACATATTCGTCCCTCCCTACCCCTTGGCAATTACTGATTTTTTTTTTTACTATCTCCATAGTTTGCCTTTTTCCAGAATGTCATATTTCCAGAATAGCTGGACTCATATTTTACGTAGCCTTTTCAGATTGGCTACTTTCATTATATAATACGCATTTAAGTTTCCTCCCTGTCTTTTCATGGCTTGATAGCTCATTTGTTTTTATCACTGAATAATATTCCAGTATCTGGATATATCATAGTTTATTTATCCATTCATCTACTGAAGGACATCTTGGTTGCTTCCAGGTTTTAACAATTACAAATAAAACTGCTATAGACATCCACATGCATATTTTTGTGTGGACATAAATAAGTTTTCAACTCCTTTGGGTAAATACCAAGCATTGTGATTGCTGGATCATATAGTAAGTACAGTTAATTCTGTAACAAACTTCCAAAATATCTTTTGCATTCCTGTCAACAATGAGGAACATGGAACATTCTAGTTGCTCCACATCCTTACCAACATCTGGTATTATCAGTGTTTTGGATTTTGGTCATTCTAATAGGTGTGTAGTAGTATCTCACTGTTGTTTTAACTTGCATTTTCCTGATGATATATGATGTGGAGCATCTTTTCATTTTTTTTTTTTTTAGCCAGATTATTTGTGATCTTACTGTTGAGTTTAGGAGTTCTTTATATAACTTTCCAGGGGGATACTTCTGGCCTACTGTCCTTATCTTTGAGAATTAAGCAGACACCCTGAATCATTTTCTTCCTCTAATTATAATTTATGTAATTATCTCATGGGATTGAAACATCTTTGGCGTCACTATTCCTTGGGGTTCTAATGAGCTTACCAACTTCATATATTTAGAGATGATGGAAGCATTGTCATATGGGCCAAATGTCCTCATTGGTCTTCTGCATATACTGACCCTGCATATCATTTAACTTCTGTAGACCTTATTTGTCTTTTCAAGCCAGAAAACTATCATTTGATGTAAATAATTTGAATTTTGGAAAACATCAAATGACCAAAATAGAATCTTTTTATACAGTGTAAGGTTATAGAAACTTGTGACTATTTGTAAAATTGTATTTCATATTGTGACTTTAAATTACTTAGGTTGCGAAGTTTTATCACTACCTAAAAATAATATTTATTCTTCCTGGAAATAATGGACAAAACATTATCCTATAACAAAATGAAAGTTTGTTGGCATCTGTACCAAAGACAATTTTAGACAGAATACTTACTAGGGTTTCGATTTTCTCAAAGCTTTCTGATTTCAAGGTGAAGCAGTCCAGGCAATGCCATGTTTTGTCTTGGAATGAAAGGAGAAAGGATAAATGTGTATTCTTCTCCCCCCCACCCTCTTAAAATAGATTGCTTAAACTATTTCTTAATAGAGCAACAGAATATATCCAAATATATTTGCTGGGATAAATTTTCCTTTGACTTGGCTTAACGGAATCTCCAAGATTTATGAAAACATTCATTTGCCACTCTTGCTCTTGTGTCTTGTTATTGGTTTTGAACAGACCAGGGCTGACTATTGAATGCACTGAGTTCTGGCATATTATTTGAATTGAGAGCTTTGTTCCTATCAAAGGTAAGAATGCTGCTGAAGTGAAGAAGGCTTTGAGCCAGCAAGAGCCTTTTTCACCTTAATATCAATCAATAGGCCCTACTGCAAGAAGACTAAGCCAGAAGAGAAGTTAAGTCCTGTCTACCACTGTATGACAGGCAAGTCACCTGATCTCTTTGGACCCTGTTCCCTCAGCTGTAAAGCCAGAGGCTTGGATTGTGTAATTCATAACATCCCTAAGGCCAAGACACTAGGCTTGTGAAAAATAATGACTGAAAGATTCTGCAGATTCAGGCAATTCCAGGGTCATTATAAACAGGCAAAACAAAGATCTGATTTGATAGCAGAGAACCCTTCAAAGAGTTCCTCCTTAATATGGAAACATGGGAGATAACATCGGCACAGGAATAAATCTATTTTGCACAATGTAAAATTCCTTGTCAACTTTCTAGGATCACTCATACATCCTGTTGCAAAGTAGGACTTAAGCAGATTACATGACGATGAAACCCGAAACAAGCCTGTGCTATTTCTTGGGTACCCCAGCATTGTTAGGAACTGTCATACATGTTAATTCATTTTATACTTATAAGAACCTGAGAACAAGGGGCACTGTCTACACTTCTTTTTTTTAGTTCAGGACAGTTTCCAGTTGAAGTCCCACACTTAGGGAGCGGCAGAGGATTTTACATTTGCCTGTACGTTCAGTGCAAGTTTCTGGAACCTCAGGAGGCATCTTCTGTGAGGCTTTATAAAACAGAGCGTCGTGGTCCACTAACATTAACGAAAGTGCTGTTCTATCTCTGGGCCAGGGTCTATGCCACAAGCTGTACCCGGATTTCTCAGCCTTCCTAATGACCCTATGAATTAGGTAATTTTAATTATTGTTTACCTCATTGAAGGGCGGGAGTATGCCCTGAGACCAACCTATGGAGCTGCAGGAGGTGAGCGTCACCACCTCCAGGCAGGCACCTGCAGCGTGAATGAGGGGCTGGGGAAGTTTGAGGGGAATGAGGTGGCGAGGGTCTCTGGTGTTTCAGTTCTCTGAAGCAGCGCGAGACTCTAGCTGTGTCTTGTCATCCTAGTCTCTGTGAGCTCCCCGAGGCTTTGCGCGCCACTCTGTGCCCAGGACACTGGGTGTCCCAATGACCACGCACAGTTCTCGCCTCTCGTTAAGGCACCGGAGCGGCGGGAACAAGCGCGGAGCAGCGCTCAGACTGCAGACGTGCCAGCCCAGGACGGCTTCTGCGGTCCGCCGGGGCTCTGCGCTCACCGCCCACCCGCGCCGCCGCGGGAGGCGGGGCGGGCCCCGGTGGCTCAGCTGACCTGGGGGCGGGGCCCGGGCGGGGGCGGGGGGAGCTGGAGCCCCGGCCTCTTCCGAGGGAGCCCGCGCTTCCGCGGCCGCCTGTCCGGGCCTCGCGGCAGCGGCTCGCGGTATGCGCCTCCGCCTGCTTCTGCTGCTCGCCCTGTGCGGGGCGGGGCCCACTGCCGCAGCCCGCAGCCTCAGCTTGCGGGGCAGCTGGAGGATCCGCAGCGGGAACGGCTCGCTGGAGCTGCCGGGGAGGGTCCCCGGTTGCGTGCACAGCGCGCTGTTGCAGCGGGGCCTCATCCAGGTACTGCGTGCGGCCGCCCCGCCGGAGCCTGCGCCCGCGTGCCCCTCGTGGTGCGAGGGGCCGGGGGACCGTTGGGCAGCCCCCGAGCCTTGAGCTTTGTTCCCGGCTTTGGATCTAACTTAACTTCTGCCTCTGTGGTTGGTGGCAGGGAAATGCTGAAGCAATTTACCTTCTGTTGGCGGAGAGCACCGCTGGGGTCCGGGGCTTGGTGGAGATAAGACACAACCAGTCTGGGACGTCGATGATTCTGGAAAGCGGAAGTTCGTACAGGGCAGACTGTTAATACTGGCGGTTTTCCTATTGCCATAGCTCTCCGCTGAAGAGTGCATAGAAAGATCTTGTGACTGACAAAGCATAAGGCAGGGGGTTACTGTTTTACTATGTGGACATTGCAGGGGACAGTAGTTTTGCTAAGTGTTAACTGTATTCGGTAAGGTGTCAGTTTTTCTCTTGCTTGTAGGGCTCAGGGAGTCAGATTTGGGATTGATGCAGCCCACAGGGTGAGGAGAATGAGATGCACAAGTCAGTGTAAGGTTTGGATTACTAGTGCTAGTGTAAGGGCTAAATAATTTTGGGAAATGAAGGAAGATGCTGTTTCTTAGGGCCTGTGATGCGTGTGTGTCTTAAAGAGTTGCTCTAATTTATAGACCGCTTGTTGAGAACAAGGGGTTTGTTGTGTGCAGAGGTTTGTTGTGTGCAGAGGTTTGCAAACAACTTTTCCACCCTCTGCTGTTTTTATGGTTCCGTCAGCTGCATGTGGCTTTCCCATTCTTTAATTGCTCTTACTTGGAGAGAGGGTCACATGGGCAGCTGAGTCGGTTAAGACCCATCTTCCGCTCAGGTCATGATCTCACACTTCGTGAGTTTGAGCCCAGCACAGAGCCTGCTTCAGATCCTCTGTCCACAACCCCTCTCTTTGCCCCTCCCCCTGCTTGGGCGCGTGCTCTCTCTCTCTCTCTCAAAAGTAAATAAAAACATTTAAAAAATTAAAAAAAAATCGTTCTTGCTTGGGAAAAGATGTACTTGACGAGTATCTTTTAATCATTTTTACCTGGAACAAGATGTACTCATGAATTGCCCCGGTCCCCATAACAACTCTACAGAGTAGATCTTCCTATTTTCATTTTATGGATGATACGGAGTTAGGGCGCCCAAAGAAGTTAGAGGATTTACCCAAGATCACACAGCAACTAAGTGGCAGAAGTAGAAATCTAGTCCAGGCTGGCCTGACTCCATTCCATAGCCTGGATTCTCAACTGTGCTACTCTTATGCTGGTGTTTTGAAAAATTGTTTTTGAAGCACTGTGGTTGACTTTCAAGAGTATCATTAACAATTTATTTAAATGACGCAATTGCCAACTGGGGTTATACAAAGTTTATGACCTGGTACACATTAGCTTTTTTTTTCTCAAGAAATATGTATCAGAAAGGAAGTGAATGTTGTAAATGACACTGACCACAGTTCAGTTTATTTTTTAAAACAAGTAAGTCTCGAATTTAGGTACTTTAAGTATTCTTAGTTAACAAACTGCTTAGTTAACATTAGCAGACCACAGCCTACTTTGGTACCCTGAGGCTTCACTCACATATGCCTTGAGAATTCCTGTGTCTATTTGGCAGGGTCTCTCCTTGTGTCATTTCACTGATAAAATTAAGGCAATGGGAAATACTTTGTGGTTTCAGCAAGTAGGATGATTGTTCCATGTTACAAGGCTACATATTAAGAAACAATGTTTGGTTACTAGCTGATGAGAAGGAAGTTGCTCATAGTCTGAAATAACTGACTTTTCCTCATGGAAATAATTTACGTTTGTGAAATATGTTCATAGATTCTTAGAAAAACTTTAAGTTCGATAAGGTGGATGTGGGTTTACTTTTTTATTTATTTTAAATGTTTATTTATTTGAATTTTTTTTAATGTTTTAATTTTGAGAGAGAGAGAGAGAGAGAAAGAGAGAGAGAGAGAGAGAGAGAATCTGAAATAGGCTCCAGGCTCTGAACTGTCAGCACAGAGCTGGACCTGCGGCTCAAGCCCACGAACTGTGAGATCATGACCTGAGCCAAAGTTGAATGTTCAACTGGCTGAGCCACCCAGGCGCCCCTGGATGTGGGTTTTAAGTGGTAGTGGGATGAGAAATGGAGAAGGCTTTTGGGAATTATGGAATTCAAAGCCTAATCATCAGCAACATCACTATTATTGAATAATATGTTACATTTATTTCACTTGCTTTATTACAACATCCCCATCTCTTTTTGCTGTTGGCCCTCAGGAAATATTCTATAGTCTAGAGCAGGCCTTGGACCCCATACTATGTTTACACGAGAACTTGAAACAGATCTTGCCGAAGTCATTTACTTATTCATGTACCTAATTATTTCATACGTATTTATTCAATACTTCCAACATAGCAGGCAGTATTCAAAGTGCTTGAGATTGAGTGGTGAAGAAAATAAACTCTTTTATCCCAATAGATATTCTAGTGGAGGAGATAGACAATGAGCAAATTAATAGGTAACATAATGGCAGGTGGTGCACTGAAGAGAAATAAAGCTGATTAAGGGAACGGAGAGTAGAAGACTGGGTGGGAAGGATTGCTGTTAAAATAAAGTGGTTAAAGATAGCCATTTTGAAGTGACTTTCATACAGAGATCTTTTTGATGAGGTGAGTTTTAAGAAGAAGTGCATTCTCAGCAAGGCGGGAAAAAAGGCAGGAGTGGAAAGGGGAGAGGCCTTGAGGTGGGAGCATGTTTGACAAGTTTGGGGAATAGGGAGCTGGCCGGTGTAAGCCAGGGGGGAAGGGAATGTGTTCAAAGAAGACATCGAGGGCAGACCATGCCGGGCTTATTAGCCATGGGAAACACTTGGATTTTATTCTGCATAGGATGATTAGCTAAGGACTCTGCATTTGAAGTTGAAATTTGAGCAGAAATAGTCATTCAGTTTTGAGGAAGAGAAAACCACAAGGTTTTTTAAGCCTTTTTTTCTTTAATTTTATTTTTAAGCCTTAAAAATTTTTTTTAATGTTTTATTTATTTCTGAGAGAGAGAGAGACAGTGTGAGCAGGGGAGGGTCAGAGAGAGAGGGAGACACAGGCTCTGAAACAGGCTCCAGGCTCTGAGCTGGCTGTCAGCACAGAGCCCGATGTGGGGCTCGAACCCACGAACCGTGAGATCATGACCTGAGCCGAAGTTGGACGCTTAACCGACTGAGCCACCCAGGCGCCCCTTAAGCCTTTTTTAAAAAAAGTTTAGTCATTTATTATTTCTGAGATATAGAGAGAGCACAGTGGGGGAGGGGCAGAGAGAGAGAGGGAGACAGAATCTGAAGCAGGCTCCAGGCTCTGAGCTAGCTGTCAGCACATAGCCTGATGTGGGGCTCAAAGTCAGATACTTAACCTGCTGAATCACCCAGGTGCCCTAAGCCTTTTTTTGTTTTAAGATAGCTTTAGAAAATCCTGATTTCTGGAGTGCCTGGGTGACCCAGTTGGTTGAGCACCCCACTCTTGTCTCACACTTTGTGGGCTCAAGCCCTATGTCGGGCTTTGTGCTGACAGTGCAGAGCAGAGCCTGCTTGGGATCCTCTCTCTCCTCCCTCTGCCTCTCCCCTGCTCATTCTCTCTCTCTCTCTCTCTCTCAAAATAAATAAATAAACCTAGAAAAAGAGAGAAAATCCTGATTCTTAAACCTGGACACATGCTTCTTTGTTTGATGCCCTGTGAGATGTATTTAGGGCATTGGAGGATTTGCTTCTCATGGCCCAACACTGGGAATCAAAGCATCATCTGAGAGTTGAATCTTTAGATAAGGGCAGCTGGTCTTCATCACCCACAAGTGTACGTACTCGACCTAGACTAGGAAATTCATCTTCATGTAATAATTACTTAATATTTTCCATGTGCAGTGCACTCTCCTTGACCTTCTAAGGTGCACCTGTCCACATAATTCCCACCGCAACCCTGTGAAGAAGGTATCATTACTTATACTGACTGAGGCTCACACAAGTTATGGCCTAAGATCATGCCATCTAATAAATGGTGGGACAAGGATTCAACCCACATCCTCTTTTCATGACCCACACTGCCTGTTGGCTAGAATAAATAGTAAGCAAAGAGAATAATTACTGTTTAAAGATGTCCAGTAAAAACAGCGATGGGCACAGTATACTATTCATTAAAAAAAATTTTTTTTAATGTTTTATTTATTTCTGAGAGAGACAGAGACAGTGTGAGCAGGGAGGGTCAGAGAGAGAGGGAGACACAGAATCTGAAGCAGGCTCCAGGCTCTGAGCTAGCTGTTAGCACAGAGCCTGACTCGGGACTCAAACCCATGAACCGTGAGATCGTGACCTGAGCTGAAGTCGGACGCTTAACTGACTGAGCCACCCAAGCGCCCCATAGTATACTATTCACAATATATCACCAGAAGCATCCCATTTGCCAAAAGTTCTTGATAAATGCAATAATCCCTGAGGGTCAGTCCACACATCACTTCTTTATTCTGTCTCTCGGAAGTCTCTGAGTTTCAGCCATCACCTCTGTGCCGCAACTGCTCCGGTGCCTCAATCTCTAACTCTGTGCTGCTGATTTGTGGCTGGAGATTTTGTTCTACTATGCTACCTGAATGCCATCATGGTGTATTGAAACTGAAAATATGGAGGCGCCTGGGTGGCTTAGTCGGTTAAGCGTCCGACTTTCGCTTAGGTCATGATCTCGTGGTTTGTGGGTTCGAGCCCCGCGTCGGGCTCTGTGCTGACTGCCAGCTCAGAGCCTGGAGCCTGTTTCAGAGTCTGTGTCTCCCTCTCTCTCTGACCCTCCCCTGTTCATGCTGTCTCTCTCTCTCTCTCCTAGAAATAAATAAAAAATACTAAAAAAAAAAAAAAAGAAACTCAAAATATGCAGATTCCTCTCTCAATTCTCCCAGTCCTTAGTTTCTCTTCCTTTATTTCTTTTTTTAATGTTTATTTATTTATTTTTGAGAGAGAGAGAGAGAGAGCGCGAGAG